TGCATGCACACGCGCCCGGCGTGGGTTTTAAGCCACCGGGTCCGGGACGTGAACCGCGGTCGACTACGTGGGAGTGCAGCGACATAGCCATTACACTAACTGCTGGTTCCCAAGAGGCTGCTCTCTCTACTGTCACTCATTGGGCAGTGGGTCAGATGTCCCGTCCTGGCCATGGCCGATTGGACCAGACATGGACGCCTGGGCCCGAGTGACCCCATCAGCTTATATCACTGTGGAATCTGGGACTGAACCCTGGCTGCTCACCCATCGGCTGGTGCAGACTGGGGGCCAAGGCCCACCTGGGGCCGTGCTTGGTCACAGGTGCAGAGAAGCAGGAGAATATAGCATGTCTCAGAGGGCAGCAGCCTGCCAGGCCATGAAGTCAGAGAGCATGACATGCATGCACACACACACACACACACACACACACTCACACGCACTCACACACACACACACACACACACACACACACACACACATGCAGTGCCTTCCTTGTCTCAGGCCTTCCCAGCACCAGCCCCCAGTCCTCCAAGCCAAGCTAAATATCCTGCCCTGCACTAATTTCCTGTTTTCTTTTTCTTTTCTTTCTTCTTTTTTTTTTTTTGAGAGGTTTTTGCTATAGGGCATGTGTGCTCGCCAGACAGACAGAGAGAGACAGAGACAGAAATCGAGAAATCACCCTCCAGGGGGGATGGCCACGCCGCAATCCCTTCTCCTCCATTCTCCTCTCGGGATTTTGGGCACGCACACACACCTGCCCAGCATGAGTTTTAAACCACCGGGTCTGTGACTCAAACTCTGGCCAACTACATGGGAATTCAGTGATGTAACCATTACACCATCTGTTATTCCCTCCTATTTTCTTTTCTTTTCTTCTTTTTTTTTTTTTTTGAGAGGTTTTTGCTATAGGGCATGTGTGCTCGCCAGACAGACAGAGAGAGACAGAGAGACAGAAAGTGAGAAATCACCCCCCAGAGGGGATGGCCATGCCGCAATCCCTTCTCCTCCATTCTCTTTTCAGGATCTTGGGCACGCACGCACACGCGCCCAGCATGAGTTTAAGCCACCAGTCCGGGACACGAACCGCGGTCAACTACGTGGGAGTCCAGCGACATAGCCATTACACTAACTGCTGGTCCCCCTATTTTCTTTTTTAAAAAATTACTTATTTTCCCTTTCTGTAGGCCCTGGGGGTTGTCGAAATGGGCAAGTTCTTGAAACCCAGGAAAGTAGTGCCGGCGCTGGCCAGATGCTGCTCCAGACAGAACGGCAACATTGTGAAGAACAGGGATGATGGCACCGCAGACCACCCCACAGACATGGCCTAGCTGGAATTGGCCGGTAATCCCGCAAAACAACAGCTACCATGGGCAAGAAGAAAATCCCTAAGAGGTCAAAGATCGAGTCTTTTGTGAAGGTTTATGACTACAGCCACCTTGTGCCCACGAGCTACTCTGTGGATATTCCCTTGGACGAACCACTGATATTCCCTGTGGCCAACAAGGATGTCTTCAGAGACCCTGCTCTTAAACACAAGGCCTGGCAGGAGGCAAAGGCCAAGTTCAAAGAGAGACACAGATAGGCAAGAACAAATGGTTCTTCAGAAGCTGTGGTTTTAAATGTTTATGTTTCAGTCATTTTCAAAAGTGAGGGGAAAAGTATTTTATTATTATTATTATTATTAAAGTTTGCTAGAGGGCATGTGTGCTCACCAGAAGGGGGAAGTGGAGCAAACTCGCCACCTAGCCTCCAGCACTCTCCTGTCCTTTCGGGGATTTGCTCTGCCCAGATCCTACCCTGTGATTCCACTGGGGGCTACACACCTTAGCTGTCTGCCATTCTGGCCCAGAGGGTGGGCTATAGCCTAAGCCCAACCAATCAGAACTCTTCTCTGGGACTTAGTGGTCGCTAAGGGAAAAGGGTGGTGCCCCAGGAAAGGGGTTTGTGTGCCAGGGCTAGGCCTCCCAGGCTGCTGTAAGGAAGAACAGAACTGAGACATGTTTGGGGCAAAGATGAGGGACCAGGAGGGTTCAGATCCCAGCTCTGCCATCCTGAAGCCCAGTCACATGCCCCTGCCTTCCCATGGTGTGGTTCCATGAGCCAGGGCTGGCTGCGTGGGTGTGCAACCTGCATATCTGCACAGGGCCCCTAGCGTGGAAGGGCCTGGCTGGTCTCAGGCTCTGTTGTTGCTGTGCTGACATTCTTAGTCATTAGCAGGAAAGGGACCCTGATATTCATTTTGCTCTAGGTCCCACAACTGTGTGGCCAATCCTAACATTTATCCTTGGGGTCAGCTTCTGGCAGGACGAACCAAAAGGTACACACATGTACACACACACACACACACACACACACACACACACACACGTAGGGGAGTTCCTCCAACCTCACACTCAGCCCCTTCCTCCAGGCCCGGGCAGCCCCTCTTCCCAGGCCGACACTTACACAGCATCTTGGTCAAGCCTCTCACTGCCCAGCCGCAGCCCGATGAGCAGGTAGAGCACGCTGATGACGGCCATGGGCAGGCAGAAGAAGAGCAGCGTGGTGGTCTGCACCACCAGGGACAGCCTGCGGGCGCACCAGCATGCACCGTGCCGAGTCGGGCACCCAGCCGCGGCAGGGCAGGGACAGCTGATCGGACCCGTGCACGG